CACACACACACACACACACACACCACAGCACAGCAGTCTACAAGCCCTGTCAGTGTCTGGCAACCACTGAGGACACAATGGTGGGAAACTGACTTTCCCATAAAATGTAGCTGAGCTGCAGACCCACACTTTTGACTCACACAAACACACACTGAAACACTCAGGGGCTGAAAATGCCTTCCTCCTCATCCCGCCTCTTCCCCTCTCTGCTCTGAAAGGTGTTCAGGACGAAAAAGTCTACGAGATCCATTCTGAGAATTTGGCTAGTTATCACAGCAACTCCTCGGTGGACCACTGAAAGAGGAGGAGGTGGTGGTGCTGAGGGGGCTGTGAATGGTCGTTTTTTTCTGAAGTATCCCCGCCCCCATCTCATTGGAGGAGAGAGGGGAATGTCATTGCTATAGCAACCTCATTTATCATAAAAGGATTGCATTTGTGACATGGCCCTACTCCAAAAGCAGAGCAGCTCAGCCCACACAAGCGCGCACACACACAAAAGAAAAACAGGGGAGTGGGGAAGGAAGAATAAAAATAAAAAAAATAAATGAGGGAAAAGAAAGGGTTGCTTGTCTTTTGCTTCAACTTTCCACCTTTGGAGAGGACGGACAAATGGAGCTCTGGCTCTCCCTCCTCATTTGTTCTCCAGGGAACTTTCAAAATGGGTTCAGGGCCAAAAACAAAAGCACAGGAAAGACATGGAAGACTACGCCCCCTTCATAACAGTTAGGTAATCACTGCTCCCTTTGAGGGGAGGGGGGACCAGCCTGGCGCTTCTGTTGCTCTGTGTTCCCTTCCTGTATTCCCGCCCTCCACAGATGCACATTCTCCACAAAGCAAAACATGTTCTACAGGAGTCTTACCCCACATTTCCAGCCAACCTCCTGTTTTTCACACAAATGGATCTCCCTCACTAAGCTCCCAACACTGTCTCTGTTAACAGAAGACCTCAGCCACACAGCGAGTGTGAGCGCTGCAGGCCCGTGACTTTACTCCGGTGACCGAAGAAAGTATGTTGTGGTTGGGGAGGGACAAAAAACGTGGCTAGTTGAACGGGAGTACACTGAAACATAGCCAAGCCTCCATCGCTCCACTGATAAGTGATCAGGGAGATAGGGAGAGGGAGAGAGACAGAGCGAAAGAGAGAGAGCGAGAGAGACAGAGAGAGGGGCGGGGATGGCAACAAAGGTCGTGACTAGTGGAACATTTACAAGAGCATGAAGCTGTGCACCTTTACACACATGCTTCAAGGTCAATTTAGTGACAACTTGTACACACAAAAAGTCTGATTTAAGGAAAACATTTGTCTTTTCTAACCGTTTATGTCTAAGAAGACACTTGCAGATCAGAAGAGAAAAGCTCTTCAGTATTTTCTGTGCTTAACTATGAGTAATGTCCAATAAAGAAAAAAAACATAACGCTACAACATTTAATTAGTTATTTGATTAGTTGATGAGATGAAATTGTCATTTTTTAAGCAACAATTTCAAAAAAAGCAACAAACGCACCACCATGTTGTGCACACACAGGACACCAGGGGAGCTGTGTGTCCCTAACCTACAATAACATCTTGGACATCCTGACACTACAATTACCTTTTTTAAATAAACCAAACAAAACAAAACAACAAAGACCCAAGTGAACCCTGATGGATACTCACGGTGTGTCAAGCTTCTTGAATTCAGGGATGGGCTCTGGCTTCTTGCGGGACATGAACCAATAAATGATAAGGCCGACTATCAGTGAGAAGAGGAACAGGTCCAGGTTGCTAAAAAGAGGCTCCTCTTCTTCTGCCATGGGCTCGGTGTGTGTGGTGGTCTCACTGTCCATGTCTGCCATGTTAACACTATACACGGGGAAGGTAAGAGCACAGAAATTAGTCCAGTTAAAAAAAATGATGTAAACACTTATATAGAGCTGAAACTGACATGGGACTCATTGATTATTTGACAGGACATTAATCGACCGTCATTCTTTTCACTTATCAATTAAAAATAGCAAATCGCAATTTGCCACTTCCAGCTGTTGTCTGTTGGTTGAATAAATTACATCAGACTCAAATCATTACACACTCACACACAAAAACATTTGAATACATATGCACTTTTGGCTGCTGGTTATGTTATTTACAGTATAAAAAATATGTTGGACAAAAAGGAGAGTGTCGAAGATACATTATGTACAACTGAATATGAGTTAAATGTTTTATCAATAGGCAGTTTGAACATATTGGTTATTACTCTGCATTTCTTTTTCTTTCCATTCCAGAAACAACATTAAATCAAACAAAATATCCAGCGGATACTTTGTTGTAGCTCTACAGTTTAGAGTGTATGCGCCCACGATTGACTTTATCTGACTACAGTCCATTTTTACGAATTTCAATGAATGTTTCATTTCTAGAATCTTGTTTAACAAAATCCAGCTGAACAACGGGCACATAAAACTGTTAGTCACTGCAGGGAACATGATTTCCAGCATATGTGAGCAATAGTCAACATGTTTTAGCTTACAATGACAGCTTTTGTGCAGGGATTATTAGACAACTGGCTCTGCCACTTGGCTCAACATACTACAGCAGTGTGAACCACTGCACTCTATCCTTGAGGAATCTCTTGTGAAGCAGCAGCGACAGCAGCAGCGACAGCAGCAGCTCGTTTCATAATGAGAAAGAGAGGACTTCATGTTCTCAGCTCTCAGGTTACTATTTGGTTAAAGGAGTGAAAAGAAGGAGATCAGGTTTTCTTGGGGCCATCTGCTCCATAGCTACATGAACAGTTGGACTGAGATCATTTACTAAGCAATGTACACACACTAAGCAAATCACTTGAACTATCACGTACAGAGGTAACTGTGTGCAGACCAAGTAGGTACAGGAGTCAAAGGGACTTCATGGCCTGCAGTAATACCTAACATGGTCAGAAACACACACCAGTAACTTCTGAATCAAACAGTTTAAAATAATGTTTTTACAAACATCACATTTTATGTGTATCATTTTACACTATAAAATTGTATTGACGCAATTGAAAGGCGACCAAATTGAAACGTCCTGTTACCTTGAATAAAATTGAGGATTTCTAGGAGTCTGGGATTGTTAAAAACATCTTGGATGATCCAAGTACAGTAGTCAAACTACAAAACAGATGTATTTTTTTTAGACATTTGAATGAAGCATTGTTACATATTATATCTTCAAGCAAAAATGCAATTATGCAATTATTATCTAGATCCATCTTCTGTGAGCTGAACAAACTGGTTTGGAAAACTTAAATAGTCAAAATTCTGCTCCTGGAGCCTGTTTGTCTATTGAGTGTGTATGTGTGTATATAGTCTAAGCAGCATTGTCTTAAATGAAGACTGATTCATGGTTCTGCCTACAAGCTACGCAGTAGATACACAAGTAGCCATTTTGACCATCCACAGTTTGACAGAGCAATTACACGGCCAAAACGCTAGCGGCCATGAGTTTCTCTGCTACTTTGTTGAGTTTCTTACGGTTTCGGGTCCACTTATTCAGATATTCTCTGGCATCTTGGTTTACTGCAGAAAAATGGCGAGTGTTGGGAGTTGAAGCTGATAGATCTTGAGGGGTAAATAGATAGATAGATTACTTTATTCATCCCCAAAGGGAAATTAGGTCTAGCTCTTGTGGTCAGCGCCTCCTCGAAGCAGAGTTACATTTGTGGACAGGTGAACGTCGGGGTTCTGCATAGGGTCCACTACTACACGTAGAAGTCGCTGGAGTTATGGCTTATATTTGACCCAGAGGCATGAATTGTGATTTGCTGGAGATCTGTTATGGTTGTGCTCTCTCGGCCACCGTACTTCCAGCTCTGGCACGGTGAACGAAGCAGTCTTGTTGCTGAGAGCTCGAGTGAACGCCCACTGTTATAAGACGTGATATGACCAACATCACATGAGACGGAGGTGAGCTGGGCTTTAAATGATCGATGAAGCAGACATGGACGAGCTGCGGCGTGAGAGACCGTGGCACCGGTTCACAGACAGCCAGTCTGCGTGAAGCACCGCACATCAGCAAACCTTGTTATTGACAGAGTTATCCAAGAACCGATTTGATTTCTCTTGCTTCTACAAGAAGTCTAGTAAAGATAAAGTCATCAAGATGACCACGATAGCCAGGGAGAGTGGACTCAGGGCGCCGGCTATTCCCTGGATCGTGACAACACTGAATGGAAACGTGAAAGTAGCAAAACTGACACAGGTTCACTCAAAGGCAGAACATTACTGTCTAAAACACGGTGTGTGCAAGTAATAATAAATAGTTTAAGCTACTAAAGAAACGGCTTGTCAGACAGTGATATAACTTAGCCTCAGTTTGCGTAACACAGCAATCAGCACTTCTCCCGAGCTAACGTTTCACTTGAAAAGCGGAACATGTCGTCTCCATTTCGCCTCGAGAGTTTCACAGAACGCGTATTACTGTCCGATGCTCAGTCCCCACAGACTGCCACAGCCTAGAGACGGATGGAAGTCTTGTGAAAGATGAGTTTGAAGTGGTCTCACCTTCTCTGCTCCTCTTCGTGTCAGGCTCACACACTGCGCTCCATGCGGAAGGAAACTTTACGCTGTGCGGGACGAAACCATCTCAGCCTATCGGCGGGGGTGGGGGAGTGGGGGAGTACGTGTACACTTACAAGGTCTATTTACTTTTATGAATGCATATTTCAGCCTTTGATCATTTCAACGTGTGTTTAGAAAGAGGCACGCGTCCCCGAAGCGATCGTTTAATTTATTCGCTCTCGTCTTCCGAGTCTGGCAACCACGTGTTTTGAGCTGGGCTGCTCCATAGACATGTAGCCTTGTCTCAGCGTGCACATGTAACCTGTTATAATAAATCAGTGATCGCTGCAGGCCAAGGGTCGTGGTTTATGTAATCCAGCCTGCAGGTCGGTCTGTGTGTCCCCGACAGGCTGGGAGTGTAAAGACAGTCTCGTCGGACGTGTCCTCCACAGCTTAGAGTCTGTTGATGTTCACAGCACCAAGGACACATGGTCTGATAGCCCAACGACATCAGAGGGTTTCTCCCAGCATGTGCCCAGATGTCCTCAGACCTCTTTAACTCAATGCATAAGTTTCTAAATGCTCCATAAAGTTCATGTCCTGTCTTGAGATTCTTACTTACACACATAGGTTTTAGCAGGAACTTGTAGTGAAGTCAAAGAACTACAGTTAAAACTCGAGTTAAAACTGTGAATTAATCTGCCTGCATGTTCGGTTGTTCTCGTCATTTACTTTCGCAAAAGCAGCGATATCACCCGATAAAAGTATTGTTCTGAAGTATTCACAGCAAATATATACTTGTGCAGAACTGTAAAAGATACTTTTGTTGTAAGTTTTTTTACAGAATAGCCATAGTTTTCACTTTTCAAACTTTTTTTTCAAACATTTGCTTTATTATCATATGTGCCTCTGTCTGTTTCCTTATGTTGTCTCTGTTATTCTAAAATACTCTATACGGTGTGCGCTATGCTTCATACAAATGAACTAAATTTAAGCTTTAGTTTAAACTATCATTGTATATAAAGCAATTTAAATTTGCTCCACTGATGCTCAAATAATCCATAAATTCATAGTTGAAGTAAATTGTGTTGCTAATACTATTTTCTTAATGCATGATATTCAAAACATTTTCCACCATTTACAATCAGCAAGCAATATTTGATTTTTATCTAAATGTTGAAGTCTTTTGCAGAAATTCAGCTTTTAATTACTGAAAATTATTGGACAGTTGAACCTATAACATGCAATTTTGTGATTTTTTTGCTCACCATGGGTTTGTGTGTCTTAGATTTCAATGGAAAACAACTAAAGATAGTTGTTAGTGAGAAATATGACATGTCTATGTGTAATAGGGTGGAGTTGAGGAGTAAGGAAAAAAATTACAGATTTTCAAGGAAAGTTCTAGAAAACTATATTTATGAATACATGAGCAAACGTACTTAGTTAAGTTCAGGTAAATGAGTTCAGTTTAGTTTGCATATATATGTTAGTCAGGGGTGGGGTAGAAACCAGTAATGTATTGTAATAAAACCTAAATGATAAACAAAAGATAAAAAAAATAAAGGAACACACACACACACACTTAATGATCAAATCTAACATGTTAAAAGTTAAATCTACTGAAGAACTACTTTGACTTGATGAGTCCATGTACTTTTACTTGACTATATAACACAGGGACAGTTTTACTTCATTAAAGTAATAAAACTTTGAGTTTTACTTCTTCAAGTTCATCTCGCTGATAAATTTACACCTGAAACAATAAAACTGGACGGACTCAGGAGAACTTGTTGAAGTTAGGTGCGGATCTGTATCAGGACAAATTTTCTTTCACATTGTGAAATACAATAAAACATTTTCCCACATTTTCACTGAATTCTCTGAGAATGATTCCTGGAACTGGATGATGTAATATATTTATATATTTAGAGGACGGACATTTATGAGTGATTTGCTGCAGCTTGATTGAATTGAATGAGACGGTGTTCAGAGACATGAGCTCGACTCAGTCAAGATTTAGTTTGTTGAGTGAAATGTTTCTTCTCGTCTTTCCTCACTTGACCTGCAGATATGAACAGTTAGAAGAACAGTAGAGGGCAGTAGACACCAGGCGCTGCACGTGTGTGTGTGTGTGTGTGTGTGTGTGTGTGTGTGTGTGTGTGTGTGTGTGTGTGTGTGTGTGTGTGTGTGTGTGTGTTTCCTGGAAGCTGGCCCAACCGCTGATTGACAGACAGTGAGCGGTGGCGTGCGAGTCAACACAAATTTAAAATATGATGATGCGGCTCAATGAACACTCAAGTTAAAACATCTTTCGGGGCGTTTGAAGTGACACAAGCTTCAGATGTAACTTCAGCCAAACACATTAAATGAGGTTTCACAGGCTCGTCAAAGGTCGGTGAGAGGCAGGAGTCCTCCTCCGTTCACTATTTACATCCAGTCAGTCATCGTCAGAGGACAAGACAACCTGAAGGGTTTCAATTCAATAAATCTTTGTCTGTGTTCCTCTCTTCCCACCTGTCTGCACGTCTGTCTGCACGTCTGTCTGTGTGGGTGGTCATTTAATCACAGGCTGTATGTGGTCCTCCATCCCGAAGGCGAGAGGGCAGATTGAATTAAAGCTTCCGAGCATCTCTGATTAGACAGGCGGCAGCTTGTGTGAGCACAAATCCGTCAACGAGGGGTGTTACAGTGACATTTCTCATGTTTCATCTTTCCTGCCACACATGACAAAAGTGTACGGAGCAGTAAACATGTGAGATCTGTTGGTGCACGACTCACGGTTCCCATCACAGTGTTTCCTACACAGCTTCAGATGAGAATGTGTTTGTCATTCAGCCGCAAAACAAACACAGATAATTTGACGTTGAACCTATAGATGTGACAGAAAGTATTGCTCGGTTAAAAGTCACACAAATAAATCACTGAGACACATAACGCAGATATACAGGTTTCACACTTGCAGAAGAATTTAAGGGAGAGATTGTTGAAAGTGAAAAACAGAGGAGAGGTAGAAGTTGATATATTTCNAGGATAATATTAATAAAGATATGAACTTGGGAACATGTGAGTCAGCATTTTTTGGTCATGCTCTATTTGATTACGTTGTATCACAGACTCTTCTGTTTCCGATTTCTGCTCTTGAGCTTCTGACGGACCACAGCGACAGTGGTGAAGAAATTTCCCATGAATAGAATAAGGAAGCAGTGACTGCACATCAAGACCTGGCATCACACAGGAAACAGAAAATAAGAAATAGAGAACAAACAAAATATCTTCGATTCATTGTTATTTTCTAATGGAGAAGATCAGGGGAGGACGAAGTGAAGTATGCAAATGCTAATGCATCAGGGTGATTTAATTACAGAATTATATTTATATGCAATAAGAATATTGGTACAAAAACTCACTGTTATGTAACACTGAGTTGTCAATAATATATTTCACAAAGTATATTTTGAAGACACCATTCTTGCTATAAAACATTTAACCTTCTTAAGTTGTGATTCTGTAAAGATAAATTGAAACAGTAAAACTTAAACTGTTATTGAAAGATCCGCAGGAACAAGGTGACATGGTAAGTGACTGTGAAATCACTGACCTGCCATTCTTTACAGTCTGGGAGCTGAGACATTTTGAAGAGAGAGAGGCCATTGAAGAGTTGCCAGAACTGCAGGACAACAACACAAGGACTCAGGAGTTTGAAGGGTGAATGGATGACAAGGTGAAGGTTAAGCTGTTTTCTAGATTGCCTAAAACCCTCAATACCGTCCCACGTCATTGTTGCTGTAGAATGACATCAGCATTTTTGTTTTAAATCAGCTTGTCTGTGTCATTCAGTCTAAACCATGACATTGCATGTTTTTAATGCAAACTAAGCATTAGAGGAAATTTCTCAAGTTCACACACTGTACTCACATGACCAAAAAAGAGGAAAGGCAAAAGAAACGTCAGCCCTTTCCACATCCATGACTGAAATCCCTCTGAAAATAGAAAGCAGTCAAAGTTAAAAACATTTTTTCCTTTACTCTCAAATCTGTTTATTAGCTCCACCTGCTCCCCTGTTGTTGGTTTGTTCATTTCTAAGCATGATTGCACAAAAACTACAGGACAGTTTAACATGAAACTTGGTCGGAGGATTCATTATGACTCAGGGAAGAACCCATTCAAATTTTAAATCGGATCCTATTCAGTTACTTACTCTTTTCTATCTTTTTCATTTTCTTTAACATTGCATGATAGGATGTTTTTCTCTATTGTATTGATTTTTCCGAGAACAATTTATGGATCTTGAATGAAATCATTCAGATTTAGTGGATTGGTATATATAAGTTTGTGCATTGGGTGCAGCTTGTTTGAATTTAAGGGACAGTTGGACCTTAGTGGAGGTATTACTCTTGAGTTTGTATGTTGGTTTGTATGATTGTAACCAAGATGACACAAAAACTACTGAACCAATTTCAATTCTTAGATTATGTTGATGGGTGTGGCATGACCCGAGGAAGAACCCATTAAATTTTGATGTGGATCCGGGGGCAAAACTTTCCTGTTATCCTTAAATTTACTAATAATATTGTTTATCCTTGGGCTCAGTGTGTCCCCAGCAATTAAAAACCTCCAGACAATTATTATAATCAAAGTTGTTACCCAAGTTTATGTTTCAGGTACTTTCTTTGTTGACTACTTAAACAGCCCTTTATACAAAACACAATTTGATTGATTGGCAGAATGACAGGAATGGTTTAGAGAGCTGCTGTGCATGCCTCTCCATGTCAGGTGAAGCATCAATAGTTCTCATACTACTACAGAAATTATCATTTACATGGGTTTTACTGCTAAAACAGCTCAAATTGACCCCAAGGAAATCCAATGAGAACACTATGCATACAGGTCATTGAAAACGTAGCATGTAAATATTATGTTGACCCAGTTGTCCCAATTCAATAAGGAACAGTTGTTAATATGAAGCCAATAAAATGAAGTGACGTTAAACATTGAATAAGGGTCAAATTGACCCCAAGGATAATAGAGGGTAAGACATTGTGAGATAGGTTTTTCCATATTTTCGTTGAGTTCACAAAAAAGAATAAATGGATCTTTCACTAGGTTCACTGTTATTCTAGTTACAGCAGGAAGAATGAGGAGCCACTGACATTATTTGTCCCAGAGCTTAAAAAACATTTTAACAAAATATTCGGTAATGATAAACTTGACTTTGTGCATCTGTACTCGGTGTCCTTGATGCGTGACTACTCACCCACTGTCAGATCCATGTTGTGTCTTTCTCCCAGGGCTCTTAATCTGTACAGGCATCCACTCTGATAGTAGCACTGCAGACACTGAACAAAACCTGCACGTTCCACATGAAAGACATTTCAGGTTTGATTTTTTTTGTTGTAAGTTATAGCCATGGATGTTTTACAAGTACTTTGACCTTACTTTGATAGAGGGAGTAGGCAAGGAACTGGTTCCTGAACATCTTGTAAAGGTTCCCATCCGGCCTTGTGTGTGACAGAGCGGAGACTAATTATTACTAAAAGTGAATTTTAACGAGAATTCTAAGTATTTAAATGTAAGTTTCATTGTTTCTTAGTCTGTATTTAAGTTTTTTTTCTTCCTTTACTCACCATGTCAGCATCACACCGGACAAAAAAGCTGAGACATAGTGATGAACAACCCACCAGCCTTTAATTCTATGATGCAAGACACATTTCAATTTATATTTTACACAGAAGATAAGATAAGATTT